CATGTCCTTATTTTACGATTCATTACTCTCCTGGCAGAATACGCAAATAAAGAACACTTTGAATATTACATTTTCCCGACCAAGTTGAATTTCAGTCCCCTGGGGATTCAACTTACAGAAAAAGATGGGGTGGGGTGGCGGTGGGGGGGAACCCCAAAAACTCCAAGAAATGCGAGTCCATAAAGCAGATTTACAGGCACACAGACACCGGGGCGGGGGGGGAACCCCAAAAACTCCAAGAAATGCGAGTCCATAAAGCAGATTTACAGGCACACAGACACCGATGGGGGGGGGGGGGGGGGGAACCCCAAAACATATCTAAGAAATGCGAGTCCATAAAGCAGATTTACTGGCACACAGACACTGTTGGGGGGACCCCAAATAGCTCTAAGAAATGCGAGTCCATAAAGCAGATTTACAGGCACACAGACACTGGTGGGGGGACCCCAAAAATTTCAAGAAATGCGAGTCCATAAAGCAGATTTACAGGCACACAGACACTGGGGGGAACCCCAAAACAGCTCCAAGAAATGGGAGTCCATAAAGCAGATTTACAGGCACACAGACACCGGGGGGGGGAACCCCAAAACAGCTCCAAGAAATGCGAGTCCATAAAGCAGATTTACAGGCACACAGACACCGGGGGAGAACCCCAAAAACTCCAAGAAATGCGAGTCCACAAAGCAGATTTACAGCTCCTGGGCACACAGACACTGGTGAGGAACCCCAAAACCAAGAAATGCAAGTCCATAAAGCAGATTTACAGGCAGGTGGAACCCCAAAACAGCTCTAAGAAATGCGAGTCCATAAAGCAGATTTACAGGCACACAGACACTGGTGGGGTGGGGGAGAGAGAACCCCAAAACAGCTCCATAAAGGCGAGTCCATAAAGCAGATTTACAGGCACACAGACACCGGGGGGGAATCCCAAAAACTCCAAGAAATGGGAGTCCATAAATCAGATTTACAGGCACACAGACACCGCAATCCCCCATGAGAGGAGCCAATTTAACGCATCAAACGCTGCCCCACAACCTCCAGTTTGTGTCATTGACCGGGACAGCAGCAAAGCAGCGAGAAAGGCACAAAAACCCCCCGAGATGCGCAAAAAAGCGGCACAAACTCCTCACCCAACTCCTTCCCGAGCAGAGAGGAACCTCGCTGTTCCCTCCAACACAACAATTCCGCACAAAACCCTTCAGCCTTGCTGCCGGCCCTGCTCGGGGATGTGTTTTTACCTCGGTGAAGCCCTCGTGGAGGAAATCCAGCAGGTTCCCCCTGGCCAGGCAGGCCAGCATCGTCCCGGCCGGGCGGGGCTCAGGGGATGCGGGGCCGCGCTCGGGGCGCCTCGGGCCGCTTCTCCCTCCTCTTCCTCCCCAGCACAAAGGCCCGGAGCTGCTCGGGAAGGACGCTCATGGTCCCATCTGGGCAGCCCGGGCACAGTGGAGCATGCTCGGGAGGGAGGTGTCCCTCGGAGGAGGGAGCAGCTCGGGCGGAGATGTCACTCGGTTGTCACGGAGACGCGGCGGCTTTACGAGATGCAGGCGAGGGGAAAACATCTGAAACCCATTTCCAGCCAAAAGCAAAAAAAAAAAAAATAAAAGCCCTCCCAAAAGCCGCTGTGCAAATGAGATTTTTCAAAGCCGCCATACACAGCGAGCTCTGCTTGGTGTGGGGGGAAAGAGGAGGAGGAGGAGGAGGAGGAAGGGAGGGAGGTGATGCCTTGAGCAAAACACTGAGAGAAGATCGTTCTGCAGCCACAGGAAGAGGCAAGCCAGGCCACAAGTTTGCAAGTTTAACGTCGCATTTTTCAAAGAAAAAAAAAATAAAACACATTAAAAATAATAATAATTAAAAAAACAAACCCGAGAGAAAATGTTCAAACAATTAAACACAACCCCCAGCTCGCTCTCTGCATGGATAAGCGCACCCATCACAGAAACAAGCATCGAGTGACTCCAGGCTGCCTTCCCAAGCTGGTGTCACCTTACAGAAAGTGCCCGGGGGGAAGATAAAAAAGGAAAATGAAACCGGAATGGGCGAGAGCCCCTCCAGCCCTGCCAGCCCTGTCCCTGCTGCCCTTGGCTTCCAAAATGGTTTGCCGGGAATTTCTAAGCATGAGACGCAGTTAAAAACAATTTTTTTTTTTTTCCCTGCCTAAGTGTTGAAGCATCCCGAGGAAAAATCAATGGCATGATTTCACAGTTTTAGCCTGTCACAGCTAAAATACAGAGGGAGAAGCAACAGGTCGCTCCCCTCTGTGACCAACCCAAAAGGATGTGGTTCCCTCCCCTCCCATTTGAAATCATCCCTGTTTGCTCTCCTAATTCCGTGGGAGTGGAGATTTTTATGTTTTCATCGGTTCTAATACCACATCTGTTAAGCAAAACAACAGATTACAGCGAGGCTTTGCACAAAGCCTTGTAAGCTGGAGCTGCTGGGGGCTTGGAGCCTTGATCCCGTTTGCTTTTGAGCTTCAAAATGCCATTAAATAAATATTTAACCCCATTTTTAAATGCAATTGAGTAGCTTATGCTGGTGCAATTCCAATAAAATTTTGTGGGAAAATGAAGTGGTTCCCCCATGAGACAAAAAGCGACCTAATTTTGAAGGGCAAACCAACAAAACACACTCTGAGCTTCCACTGTGGAGTTAAAAAAGCTCTTTTTGACTAATAATTTACTATATATATATTCATACTTGTTGCATTATATATATTAACCACCTGGTTTTTATATTGCAAACACACATTCACAGAGGATTTGTAATATGACAAGGAAGGATGGTGAGATTTTTGGGTCGACCAAGGGTTTCCTTCCATCCCATCTCCCTCCTGCAGAGCCACCTCCTGCCCCAACAGCAGCTCAGCAAAGGCAAAATGTTCCAAATGTTCTCCTTTCCCCTGCCAGGCTCAGGCACAGCCCTGCTCAGAGGTTTTCTCATCAAAGATTTCCTTCTGCAGGAGGTTTCTTATCTCTGCCTGAATGCCAGGGAATAGAAACCAGGCTGGACATGCTGAGCCGTTCTCCTGTCCATTGTGGGGACACAAATGGGTCTGGGGTGGGTGTGAGGGCTAAAAATAACTTCTAAAAATTAAATTCCACTTCTCCCTTTGTGTTTCACTCTGAAGTTTCCAGCTGCTTGGGGCAGGGGTTGTGTTTTCCTGTTACTTTTACACAAAGGCGCCTTCCAGAGCCCCTCACTGACAGGAAAGATGCTTCAGAATTCTCCTGGAATTTTCCCAAAGGACTCCTCTGCCCGGTGACTCCAAACCCACTGGGCAGTGATGTCCCCAGCAGCTGCTCCTGGGGTGAGTGACCTGCTGGCCTGGTGGCATTGCCATCTCCTGGCCACTTCCAGCATCACCCCAGCCCTTGTCCTTGAGCACTTTTGGTCACTAAAATCGGCGCTGGGGGGATGAAAACGAAAGAGGCCAAGTCAGGAATTCACCCGTGGGGTTTGTGGGGTTTGTGACTGCAGCGAGACCCCAAAGAGCTGCTAAAGCCACCGCTGCACTCGTGTCACCGATCCCAAACTCCTCGTGAAGCACCAGAAGGGACAGAAGGGACACCAGAAGGGACACCAGAAGGGACAGAAAGGACAGAAAGGACACCAGAAGGGACAGAAGGGACACCAGAAGGGACACCAGAAGGGACAGAAAGGACAGAAGGGACACCAGAAGGGACAGAAGGAACACCAGAAGGGACAGAAGGGACACCAGAAGGGACAGAAGGAACACCAGAAGGGACAGAAGGGACACCAGAAGGGACAGAAGGGACACCAGAAGGGACAGAAGGGACATCAAAAGGGGCAGAAAGGACACCAGAAGGGACAGAAGGGACACCAGAGGGGCTGCTGGGAACTCACAGAGGGTGCAGGAGGCTGCGGGGGGTGACAGGGCCCCGTGTCCATCCGAGTCCCCACGCTGGATGTCACCTCAGCGCCAGGGGACGGTCCCAGCAGTGCTGAACCTGAGGGGAAAAGGAAATCCTGCAGGGAGTGAGCCTCAGAGGGGGATGGGATGGGATCCATGGAGTGGGGTGGGATGGGATGGGATTGGATTGAGGGAATGGATGGGATATGATCCATGGAATGGGTGGGATGGGATTGATGGGATGGGATGTGATCCATGGAATGGGGTGGGATGGGATAGTATTGGATTGATGGAATGGATGGGATGGGATTGATGGGATGGGATCCATGGAATGGGTGGGATGGGATGTGATCCATGGAGTGGGGTGGGATGGGATGGGATTGGATTGATGGAATGGATGGGATGGGATTGATGGGATGGGATGGGATCCATGGAATGGGGTGGGATGGGATTGATGGGACGAGATGGGATGGGAGATGTTGGGGTGTGATTGATGGGATCGGATGGAATTGATGGGATGGATGGGATGGGATTGCTGGGATGAGATGGGATGGGAGATGTTGGGGTGGGATTGATGGGATGGGATGGGAGTGATGGGATGGGGTCTGGGGCACAGGGACACCCAGAAGCAAGGCTGGGATGGGCTGTGGGATGGGAATGTGGGGAACAGGCACAGGAACAGGAACAGGGCAGAGCTGGGGGTCAGGAGATGCTGGAGATGGGGTGACAGGGGGAGAAATGGGGACGGGTAGGGGTGGGATGGGTGGGGTTGAGGTGAGGTGAGGTGGGATGGGGAGAGGTGGAGTGGGACAGGCTGGGACGGGCTGGGATGGGCTGGGATGCGGTGGGATGCGGTGGGTACCAGGACCCGCACCCCCGGCCCTACCTGCTCCCGGCGCGCGTCTCCGGTTGCCGTGGGAACGGGGGCGGGATGGGGCGGGATGGCGCTGGCTCCTCCCCGGGATCGAGGGGCCGGGATCGGGATCGGGATGGGCACCGGGATCGGGATCGGAGCTAGCTCGGGGCAGCCCTTGCCCAGCCCCGCACCGCCGCCCCGGCAGCGGGACCCTGTGTGTCCCCCCAGCCCCGCAAAGCCTCGCTCAAAGTGTGGATTTCACACTGAAAATTAAATATTGCGTCTTTAATGATCCATCAACACTCGTTTGGCACACGTGGCAACCGCGGGAAGTACAGGTTTTAATATTCAGTGCAAAACCCAGTCCTTCGGGGAAATCTCTGTTGCAGAACACGTGGATTCCACAATTCCCCACGGAAAGCCTGGAAAAATCACTGGGATGGGAGCGTGGAATTGGCTCTAGGATGAGCTGTACTTCCAGAAACAGCCCCGAGGCTGCTGTGGAAGCCAGAGCTCCTCGGGGAATGGGAGATAAAGAACCATTCCAGGGGCTCAGGCACTCATTAAAACATGTAGAAAAAATGGGAAGATTAGTCCTCAAACACTCCCACCTTGGCAAACATAACCTGGAGCAGCTCTATTTTTCACCACGAGCAGGAATTCCTCTGTGTTCTTCCCACCCAGCCGAGCTAGAAAATGCAAAGTTCTGTGTGTTTCTAAAAGGAACCATTTCTATATGGCCAAGAGGAGCAGAATGTGCCAGGCCTTGCTTTGGTGCCTGCAGATGGGGTTTGGGGAGCCCTGCTGCCAGTACTGCCCAGTTTGGACCATTGCTACATGAATTATTGACACGATTTCAAATCCAGAAATGGGTTCTCAGAGGTGGAGCTGATAGCCCCACGTGGGGTGTGCTCTGTGTCACTGGGGTTTATAACAGCACAAAAGGAGGGAAAAGTGGAGGCAAAGTCCAAAGTCCTGGATTTGGAGAACTGCCCTAAATACAGGCAGTGATCTGCAGCCAAATTGCCAATATTCCCTTGTTTCACTTCCAGCCAGAGCCAGGAGCTCACTCCTCGCTTGTTTGCACAGAGGAGTGAGGATGCACCTCTGAACAGCCCATCAGCGACAGAAATTGTTCTGTACCCTCCCAATTCTGCATTTCTGGCTGCCAGCTGCTGTGCATGGCTGTAGAACGCTGATTTTGGGGCAAGGGGATGCACCCAGGGCCTGGCTGCACCTCCAGGAGCAGCTGTGGGAAGGAGACAGAGCAGCAGATCCTGCTGAAGGTCTCCTCTCCTCACAGCACCACCCACGCGTCACTCTGCACACGCAGAGCTTTAACACTGACACCAAAACTGCCTTTAGTCCTGAATTCCCGAATTCCCAAAGGCAGCACTCCTGAATTCCTGAATTCCCAAAGGCAGCACTGCTGAATTCCCAAAGGCAGCACTCCTGAATTCCTGAATTCCCAAAGGCAGCACTCCTGAATTCCCAAAGGCAGCACTGCTGAATTCCTGAATTCCCAAAGGCAGCACTCCTGAATTCCCAAAGGCAGCACTCCTGAATTCCCGAATTCCCAAAGGCAGCACTCCCTGAGCCTTGGCCAGCCCCGCAGCAGCTTTGCCCCCTGGCAGGGCTGGCAGGAGCTGGGCTGGCAGCTCCAGGGGCAGCTCTCCCGAGGGATGGAGGCACTTTTTGCCAGCAGGATCAGCCGGGAAACTCCCCATTGAGAACGTCTGAGGCGGGAGACACGGAGACACACCTCTCCAAAATCTCCTCGAGGTCTCCTGCACCTACAGCCCTGAGCTGCTGTTCCTGCTGAAGGAGGAGGACGAGGCCACCGATTCTGTTAGACCAAGGTCCCGTTTTTGCTGTCGTACTTGAGGCGGGCCCTGGGGAAGTTGAGGGTGGCGTACTCGGTGGCGTTCTGCAGCTGCAGGTTCTTCACCTCGGCCGCCGAGCGCTCCCGCGCCTTGGAGAACACCTGGATGTCGGCGTAGTGGATGTTCTCATCCTGCTGCACGGCCCTGGCCTTGCTCACCGTGGCGTAGATGGGGACATCTGGGACATCTTCATACGTGGGGACCTTTGTTGGGGGGGAAAAAAGCTCTGGGAGCTCAGCTTGTCAGCAATCCCACAGCACCAGGCAGCCTCTGGCACCTCAGGCTGCTCCCACGTTTGCTGGGGGATTGCTGATGGGTTTCTCTTCCTGATAATTCTTCTGAGCTCTCAGAGGAGCCCATCACACCTGAGATAGCCCAGCCACCCCAAACAGCATCAAATTATCAGGATGGCTTCTGAGGTAGTGATGGAAACAGAAAAAGTTCCACTAAAAGGCAAAATAACAAAGCTCTTATAGAGAAAAACCAAACCAGGGGCAAGAGGTTCTTGCTCCTGCTAAAACACCCCACAAAAGGGATTATTGCCTTTGTTCTCTTCCTTTTCTGGTGAATTACCTAGGTGGGACCTCTTGGTCTCTGTCCAGCTGGCAGCCCCAGGTCTGAGGTGAAGTCCCCAAGGTGCTGTGAGGGGTCCTTGTACCAAATTTGGTACAGTTGGGTACAATTTGGACCTCTTGGTCTCTGTCCAGTTGGCAGCCCCAGGTCTGAGGTGAAGTCCCAAATGAGAGAAACTTCTGGGTTTTTTGCCTTTTTAAGCAGACCAAGAATAGTTTGGTCACTCCATCAACAGGGGGCACATTCCTACAGGCAGGGGGTAAAAAATGTAGGAAAAGCCACTTTAGAGGCTGCACAGCTGGAGAGGATTCATGGATTCATGGCTCTGAACTCTGCCCTGTGTCCTCCAGCCCACGGAGCTCAGGGCAGCTCTGTCTTCTCAACACACACTTAGGGAAAAACCCTCTGGAAAGTTATTTATTGTTATTTATTTACCTTCCTGCCAGGCTGCTGCTGTTGAGCCTCGTGCCTCACATCAGCTCCTGCAAAGGAAACGCAAAAGGGCTCAGATAAAAGCAGTTTATTGTTCCACCTCGGGATGCAGCAGGGCAGTGTTGGCCCGTGGGCTCTCCACACTGGGCACAAATCAGATTTCCACCTCATCTGACTCCCTCAGCCCTAACGCCTGCAAGAAGAAAGCCTGGGCTTGTTTCTTTGGGAAAAATAAGGTTTCCCAGGATGGCAGCACGCTGTGGGCCACAGAGTTCTTGGCAGAAGGCACGGACACAGCACAGAGAGCTTCTTGTCAGGCCCTGGAGGAGTCAGATCCACTTTTAACTTTGTTCTTTCCTCTGCTGCCGGGCAAACGTGTTTTGCCCAGCACGGTCCAAGGGCCACAGGACACAGCTTGAGGAATGCCCTTGCTTGTGGGGAGTGCTGTCAGACAGATGTTTGCAGCTCCTGCAGGAGGTGCATGCAGCTCCTGCTCTGCTGGAGAGCGTTTTGAGGTGGGACTTGGTTGTTTTAAAGGCACTGCTGAATTCCCTTCCCTCCCCTTGGCAAATCCTGTGGCACATCACCCTTCTTGCTTTAAGATTTAAAGAAATGCTGCCTCAAACTTCTCCTGAGGAAGGCTGAGTACCAAAGGGGTGTGTGAGGCTGAGGCAGCGATGTCACCTCCCCAGGGGCTCTGCCACCCCAGCTCAAAGCACCGCCACACATCCTTACCTTGCTTTTCCTTCTTCCTTTTGAAAGGCGAAGGACACTTCCTAAAATCAGAGAGACACATCAGCCCTGAAAATCCCAAACCTCTGCCCTGCCCAGACCTCACCTGAGGTACCAGGGAACGGGACAGGCCCTGAGTGACCCTTGCAGGGGAAATGTCCAAAGGGACATTTGAGCTCCTGGCTCAGGTGTCCAAAGGGAAGGTGTGGGATGTGTTTCCTCCTGAGTTCCTGGCTCAGATACCCAAAGGGAAGGTGTGGGATGTGTTTCCTCCTGAGCTCCTGCCTCAGGTGTCCAAAGGGAAGGTGTGGGATGTGTTTCCTCCTGAGTTCCTGGCTCAGATGCCCAAAGGGAAGATGTGGGATGTGTTTCCTCCTGAGTTCCTGGCTCAGATGCCCAAAGGGAAGGTGTGGGATGTGTTTCCTCCTCCTGGGACACCCCCACCACGCCCCACAGCCACCCCAGCTCAGCCTCCTGTCCCAGCAGCATCCCCAGGAGTGGGAGCTGCTCTCCCTGGAGCTTTGCAGCTCCGTTCCACAGCCCAGCTCCGAGGCACGGGCTGCAGGGCACCATCCCAGCTGGCACCAAGCCCTTCTCCTGGGGTCAGCTGCTCTGCCAGCCCCCCTCCCCGAGCGCTGCCCCCCTTCCCAGGGAGCAGCTGGCTGACTGAGGGTTCCAGACACTTTTCCTGTTCTCAGAGTTCAGAACAGAACCAAACCAAACAAGCTTTGCCCTCGTGAGCCAAAGCCTCCCCTCAGCTGTACCTGTGTGAGCAGAGAGGCCAAGCACAGATGTGCTCCAGGAGAGGACAGGAGCCAAAATCATCCCAACAGAGCCTGGAGCTGAGCTCTGCAGGCTGGCACTGGCAGAGGGGACTCGTGTCCCCTTCTGGGACAGATGCATGAAGGAAATGTCAGCTCGGGGGGCTGGGGAGCAGCTGCCAGCCCTTGTGTGGCCCCACGGAGCAGAGGGGCTCCCAGGGGGCTGTGGCTCTGCTCAGCAGCTCCAGAGGGCAGGCAGTGCCTTGGATGGGGCTCCAGGGAATGCTGTGAGTGCCACGGGCTGAGCCTTGGCACAGCCAGGAGCAGAGCGGTGCCCCGGGCAGGGCTGTGCCCGTGCCAGCTCTCCCAGGCAGCTCCAGGGGCAGGGGACAGCACAGGGCGTGCAGCCATGCCCTGGCACTCCAGCAGGAAAACAAAACCCCCCAGGAATTCAGGCAGAGAGCTCCGGAATGACCAGCAATGATTAACCAGGCCTGGGCAGGCAGAGGCGGCTTTGGGCAAGGCTCCGGCGCTGCCACAGGGGCACCTCCAGCCCTCCACAGGCAAAACCTGGGGGGTTCTCCCCAGGAATTTGGGGTTTCACTGGCAGCAGCACCCCTCTGTGGGGCTCTCACAGCCTCCCCATCCCCTGTCTGCAGTGTCTCCTCCTTGCCCAGGTTTGTGTGGCAGAGCACTTCCCTTCCTGCCAGCGCCCAGGCGTGGAGAGTTTCACCAGACCTGCACCTTGTGGGGCACCTCCAGCACCCAGGCATGGAGGATTTCACCAGACCTGCACTTTTTGGGGCACTTCCAGCACCCAAGCATGGAGGATTTCACCAACCCAGCACCTTGTGGAGCATTCCCAGCTCCTAGGCATGGAGGATTTCACCAGACCTGCACTTTTTGGGGTAGTTTTCTTCCTGCCAGCACCCAGGTGTGGAGAATTTCACCAGCCCAGCCCCTTGTGGGGCACTTCCAGCACCCAGGCATGGAGGATTTCTCTAGACCTGCACTTTTTGGGGTACTCCCAGCACCCAGGCATGGAGGATTTCACCAGGCCAGCCCCTTGTGGGGCAGCAGCAGCAGGTCTGGCATTCCAGGCTGCTCCCTCAGTGTGTGGGCTGGAGCTATTCCTGTCTGCAGGATAATCACAGCCAGGCTGCTCCCCGGGAATGGGGACACGTGTGGCACGGGAAATGCAGCAGGGAAACCTCTCCCCTCCCCTCCAAACCGGCTCAGGCTGCTGGAACTCCCAGCCTGACAGAATTCCCCACAGCTCCTGCACTGCTGCCTGCCCTCTCCCCGTGCCAAGGCCATCCTCATTCCTGCCCTGCACAATCCTGGGGCCTGGATTTGGGCAGATTTCCCTGTCTCTGCCACTTTAGTGCCACTTTAATGGTGAGAGCCTGGGCTTGCCCGGCACGGGGGCAGAGGTGCCCAGACCCGAGGGCACAATTCCTTCATCAAGGACTTCCCAGACAGAATAAATTTGCTGTGACAGCTTTTCTTTAACGACCTCAGACCCTGGTCGAGCCCTTGCCTGCTGATGCCCTGGGTGCCTCATTTACCCTCTGCCCTGTGGCAGAGGGAATGAAAAATGGGAGTTTTGTGGGTGAGCAGCTTTCCACCTCCCACCTTCAACTCCTATTCCGAAATCCCAAACTTCTCAAGGCTCACAGGGCTTGAAGAACCTCCGTGTCCTCAGATCCTGAGCCTTCCTCCACTAGGTGATGCTGTGCCTCTTGGAATTATTAAAAACTGGATGAATTTCTCGTACTTTCAACAAACTCAGTGTCGGGAGAGAGAACTCCCTTGGAGCTTCATCTGAAATTTACGGCTCTTCCCCTGGCAGAGCTGAAAATATTCCCACTTGGCAGCGAGTGGTGCCCATTCCCTGCGAGCAGGGGGTGCAGGAGCCAGGGGGGATTAAAGCATCCCCCTCCCTGCCTCCCTTCCCAGGGAGAAAGAGCCAGAGCATCTCAAAAGCGTGGTTGGGATTTCCCGAGCAGAAATAAACCCCAGGCAGACAGGCAGGATGGGGAGGGTGAGGGCAGGATGGGGAGGGTGAGGGCAGGATGGGGAGGGTGAGGGCAGGATGGGGAGGGTGAGGGCAGGACAGGGTGGGTGAGGGCAGGATGGGGAGGGTGAGGGCAGGACGGGGAGGGTGAGGGCAGAATGGGGAGGGTGAGGGCAAAATGGGGAGGGTGAGGGCAGGACGGGGAGGGTGAGGGCAGGATGGGGAGGGTGAGGGCAGGACGGGGAGGGTGAGGGCAGGATGGGGAGGGTGAAGGGGAGGACGGGGAGGGTGAGGGCAGGACGGGGAGGGTGAGGGCAAAATGGGGAGGGTGAGGGCAGGACGGGGTGAGTGAGGGCAGGACAGGGTGAGTGAGGACAGAATGGGGAGGGTGAGGGCAGGATTTGGAGGGTGAGGGCAGGACGGGGTGGCTGAAGGGGAGGACGGGGTGGGTGAGGGCAGGACGGGGAGGTGAGGGCAGGACGAGGGAAGGTGAGGGCAGGATGGGGAGGCTGAAGGGGAGGATGGGGAGGGTGAAGGGGAGGACGGGGAGGGTGAGGGCAGGATGGGGTGGGTGAGGGCAGGACGGGGAGGGTGAAGGGGAGGATGGGGTGGGTGAGGGCAGGACGGGGTGGGTGAGGACAGGACGAGGTGGCTGAACCCCTCTTTGTCCCAGGGACCCCTCAAAGGGACAGCGGGGAGTGCTGCCATGAGGACAGCGATTTGAGGACAGCGATTTGCGCATTTCCCCAGCTGCCGGGCGGCTGCAGCGCTCCGGGCTGAGATGTGCCCAAACCCCGCCTTGTCCCCGCTCTGTCCCACCCGGGACACCTGCACGGCCGTGCCGCCGTGCTCACCTGTCCCTCCCGGCCAGGTGCGGGGCTCGGAGCCCTGGCCAAGCCCAGCAAGGGCACGGAGCTCCCGAGCCGCACTCACCAGCACAGGTTGCCCATGGCGCTCCTTCCCCGGGGAGCCCCAGCGCTCTCTGGACAGGCTCAGCTGGTGTTTCCTGGTTCCTGGCTGCCCGGGGAGTGGCTGCCAGTGTCGGGTTTCGCAGCCCCGTGTGCCATCTACCGGAGCTGGCCCTGCTGTCACAAACGCGCTTTGATGGCTCGGACCGCGCCCGTCCCCCGCTGTCCTTCCATCCCCACCGGGATGCAGAAGGGGACGGAGGAGACACTTCAGAGGGAAGGAGAAGCCCCAGGGTGGGTGCTCGGTGCTGTTCCTGCTGCCCACCCTCGAGGGAAGCTGTGCCATGGGTGGCATCGCCTGGGGAACAAGCGGGGTCCCTGTAGTGTTGGGAAGGATGGATAAATATGATTGCCTGGAAAAAGAGTCACAGTAGTACAGCCAGGATGAAAACAACCCCTCCCCTACTGCCTGGACAATACCCTTACCTACAGATAGGTCCAAAAGTCAAATGGACTGTTGGATCTCACCCCAATGTATGGTTCACCCCACACCTGTAACCCTCCCCTGAAGCATCAGGTGTCTGTGACCCCATTGGCCCAAGTCCTGTTCCAGCCCACCTTGAAGCCCCCTGATAAGGGGTCTCCGAGGGGCCAGACGCCCTCTTGGATCTTCCCCTCTCTTGGATCTTCCCCCCTCTCCTGGAGCATCCTCTCTACCCCTTGTCTCTCCCCTCTCCCATTCCCTCAGGCCTTGCCCCATGCTGCATCTGGCAGCTCCAAGCAAGACCCTTCACCATCCCTAATAAACCTGATATTCTAAGAGCAACCTTCAGAGATCTCTCGTCTCCATTCATCAAATCCGTCCTGGAGCCCAGCGCTCCGTACACTGCAGTTCTCAGCTGAGCTCTGCTGCTGCTGCCCCGCAGCCTCAGGGACGTGGCAATCCACTTTCTTTTGAGCTACCTGGATAAAAGGGTTCGGTTCAGTTCAGGAGGGCCCCCACAGCCTTAAGGAGCCCTCAGGCTCAGCCCCAGCAGGTCAGATGGGAACAGGGACCTGCATTTCACCTCTGAGCCACTGCTGAGAGCCCCTCAGACTGTCCAGCCTGAGTGACCAGAGCCCTGGTCATTCCCGGACCCAAGGGCTGCGTAATTCCTGAGACCTTATCTCAGGCAGGTCTGAGGACAGATCCCCCTGGACGTTATCACTTATATTTGAGCAGTAGCTCTGCCCTACTGTAAATGCAGGTGAACCCAATGGGAAGAGATGATGATGTGTAACTCAATTCAGAAGGATTAATGATTTCTTTATTATAACTATGCTAAAATACATTAATATACTATATAAAATGGATGATACTAAAACTACATACTACTTTCTCTCACTCTAACACAACTGGTGACCCTCTCTGAGCCCAGCCCCAGGTGGGTTGGGTTGGCCACCAGGCTCAAACAATCCTCACCAGAATCCAACCAAGCATCACCCCAGGTAAACAATTCTCTAAACACATCCCACATGGGAAAAACAAGGAGCAGAAATAGAAATTGTTTTCTCTTTCATTTCTCTCTGTGCACCTCTATGAAAAATCCTGAGAGGGAGAGAGAAATGTGCTTGCCACACTGCCCCACAGCTCTGACCCAGCAATCAGCCCTGGTTCTGTGCAGGTCTGACCCCTCTAGGGGTGCCCAACAATGGGGTGAGCATTAATTCACCTTTCTGTGACAGGAGCTGGCCCTGCTTCCTACTCCAGGTGTACCCACGCCCTCAGCCAGGCCCACAGCCCCAGTCAGCACCGGCCCAAGGGCACAGCACAGCTTGGACCTGTCCAGGAGTGGCAGAAGGAGAAGGATTCTGCTTTGGAAGGCTCACAGCTGGCTCTGGGTGAGCAGCACTGCGACCTACAGAGCCTGAGCCTTGCTCTGACACTGTTCCTCGGCTTGGGGCTGGAGAAACGCCACAGAATTGGGGATGGGATTTGTGCAGACAGCTGGGATTCCGTGCTGGCCCTGTGCTCTCAGGGTCCTGCAGGCTGCAGGTGTTCCCAGAGCTGTCCCTGCCTGGGAAGCTGCAGACTCTGTGTCTCTGCCCTTGCCACAGACACTGTTGTTTTAACGAGCCAGCGCCTGTTGTGATTTCTGGATAACTCACCCTTTGTTGCTTTGTGGGGAAGGAGGCAAAAAAAAGCGTCTGGGAGCCTGTTCCCATCAGCCTCTGTCACAAACACTGGAGCTGCCGCTTTGAGCTCCACCAGAGAAACAGAAAAGCATCAAAAACACTGGCGGGGCCGGGGAGCGCTTGGCTGCCACTCTGCATTCCCTGCCTGGCGGGGCTGGCAGCGGGCAGGGCGCCCGGGGATGCTGTGGGGACAGCGGTGGGGACAGCAGTGGGGACAGCCCTGCCCGCCCCCGGGCACTGCCAGCCCCTGTCCTGCACCGCTGCTGTGACACGGGCACAGAGAATCAGCAGGGGAGGGCAAAAACAGGGCCAGGAATTGTGTAGTCGCTACTAATTCTGGGCATTTTTATGGCAAGAGCATCCAGATCCCTCAGGCAGGTGTGGTACAGCTCAAATTGTCTGTCAGGAAGGCAGAGAGAGTTCTGTGCTGGTGTGGGCACTCCTTTTGTCTCAGAATCCTGTCCCAGGGCAGCACCTGGAGCTGCTGGGCAGGCACAGAGGGCAGCTGATGGCCCAGGCTTGCCATACCTGCCAGGCTGTGCCATACCTGCCAGCACAACCAGGCTGTGCCATGCCTGCCAGGCTGTGTGTGTGCTCTCCTTGCCCAGCTCCGAGCTCACCCGCTGTCATTCCACGTCCCAGGAAACCTGCAGGGAGCAAAGGGACCAGCAGCACTTCTTGCCAGGGCAGGGACAAAGGGAAGGCTTTTAGAGCTCCGTGTTTGTGGGTCTGGGGAAGCTTTTGTGAGGAAGTGATGGCCGTGCCTGAGCCCACACACATCCCTCACCACAGGGCTCAGGAGCTCAGCCCTGCTGAGATCTGGCTGCTGGGTGAAAGCCATGCAGGTGACCGAGAGTCCCCAGCCCAGAATTAAGCCTGGAATGATTATTAATGACTTAGACAATGCCTGTTGGAAAGGTGGGTTTTTATTTTGACAGCTTAGCTGGTTCTGCTCCAGGGGTCAGGGCAGGAGATCGGGCACTGAGGGCACCCAGGCAGGGCAGGGCTGCTCCTCAGCCAACCAATCCCCAGGGTGGCAGTGCCCTGGGAAGCAGAAGAGAGCTGAAAATAGCAGGGCAGTGCTCTGCTCTGGGTCCCACTTGGCCTGGCAGGGGACAAAACTCATCCTGATAGCGTGTTCAGTCCCAAAGGGATGTGCTGGGCAGGGCATTCCTGCCCTGGGCATTCCTGGGGGGAGCAGAGCCACAGGGAGAGGGGGAAGTCACATCCCCCCGGGTTTTGGAGCCTCCCCTCCTCTCTGCAGGGAGAGCTGCACCCAGGCATGCCAGGCACCCCCAAATTTAGCCACTGACACAGCATTTTGTGTGCCTGACGACACAAGGGTGGCAACTGTCACCTGCTGAGCGCCGGGGCCGCCGGGGCAGCAGCTGCCAGCGCCAGCAGCACACACGATCCCCGTCCCCATCACGAGACCAGGGCACATTGCTCACGTAGCATCACAGTGGCTGCAAAAGGGGCCAAATTCAGCCCCTCCCTGCCTCCACAGATGGGGCTGGGGCTCCAGCGAGGCAGCTGGGCTCTGAGCAGAGCCTCTCCCTTCAGTATTTTGGCTTCAGTCCCCCACAGAGTCTCTGTGTGAAGGATGTGCTGTACCTGAAGGGCTGAGCAGGCACAGGATGTGGCTGGGCATTAATTTGTGCCTCATTCACTCAGGCTCATTCCAGCTGCAGCTCTGGGGATGCTCAGGGACATTCCAAGGGCTGATCACTCCTCACCTTTTTGTCCTTGAGGTCACTTTGCTCTGGGCTCCCTAAACCAGCAGCTGGGCCAGGGGGTGAGGCCCAGAGGTGGCCACAGTCCCTCCATGTCCCCACGGTGGGCTCAGCCCCAGCTGGGCACTGCCCACCCTCCCTGCTGCACAGGAGCAACACGAATCCAAGGCAAACAGGAGAAGAGCAGAGGCAGGTTTATTCCTCTCTCCTCCTGATTGCTGCAGGCACTTTTACAGACCAACACCCACCTCGCACAGCCACGAATCTCAGCCTCCAGCTCAGAAACCAGGCACTGGGATCCCCTTTTCTCTCTTCCCAGTGCCCTTCTGGGCTAGAGCACAGTCCACTGAGACACAGCCTCACAGTTCAGGGTAGGAGTGACCCTGGGGTGAGAGCAGAGCTCCCTTCAGGGTCACCTGGCCTAGGAGAAAACTTGCATTACAGTCACTCACACTCACACTCCAGCCCCACTCTTTTTTCCAGTTCCAAGTCCCTTTTGCTCCCAGCCATCGGCCTCGAGCAGCAGGAGCGTGGCTGCCTCAGGGCCCAGGGGTCTGGCACTGTGGATTCCCCATCCCTGTCCCCCCCACCTTCCCAGATCTGCGGCCTTTAGGATGTTTCCTTCTCTTTTCCTTCCTCAGCCTGTTCTTCTTCCCCCGCCGGCTGCTCCTGCTGGGTTATCTTCACCTCGTTGATTCTCGCCTTCACCTCCTTGCCCGTCCGCGGTGCCACGATGCTCAGGATGCCATCGTGGGTCAGGGTGGCCCTGACCAGCAGGGGATCCACGTCCAGGGGCAGGATGTAGGTCCTGGTGAACTCCCTGGAGACGAAGCCGTGACGATCAGCCTTCTGCGGGTGCTGCCCCACCACCTCCAGCAGGTTGTCCACGGTGCGCACGCTGAGCTCGTCGGGCAGGAACTGGCAGACGTCCAGGAACACCTGGAACTTGTGCTCGTTCAGGCAGATCTCCGAGGTGCCCCTCTCCAGCTGCTTGTTGATCCGGGGCCGGATGTAGTAGCCGTGGTACAGGGCAGGGGCTAAAATCTCCGATGGGGACACACCTGCACGGGAGACTCAGTGAGGAGTTCCAGGCATGGGGCTGCAGCAGCAGTTTGGGACCTGGAGAACACCTTGCCTCGGCCACATCCCCGCAGCAGGGGTGGAGTCTGCTGCAGTTCCCACCTTTGTGCCCCTAAAACCCACCCAGAGCCACATCCCTGCCAGCTGCTGCGTGCCACCGGGCTGCCCATCGTGCCAGCGAGCCCAGGGCTGGCATCCAGCTTGACATGTTGGGCTGCACAGGGAGAGCCTGGTGGGTGCACTGGGAGCTCTGCAGAGCAGAGCCCGTGGCCAGGGATGGGCATGGAAACTGCTGATGGTGAAGAAACCACCCCGAAGAGCTAAAGGCCTTTTGTGTGCCATTGTCCACAGGGCTTTCCTTGGAGCTTTTTGCCTTTTCACGCTGTTGTGCTGGTGCTGAATGGTTCTGCTGCTGCCCACATTCCTTCCCCTGGGCCAGCCACTGCCCAGCTTTGTGCTGAACGCCCCAGCTCAGCTTTTCTCCACATCCCCCCGGCTGGAAAAGCTTCCCCCCCTCCCCTGGGTGCTTTGGCTCCATGTTTGCACAGCATGTGCACGAATGCCAGAGCATGGCTGGCATGAGGGAGGGCAGCAGTGGGCATGGATGGGGAAGTGGACATGAAGAGAGAGATCCTGGCTATTCCCTGGCTGTTCCCTGGCTATTCCCTGGCTATTCCCTGGTTATTCCTTGCTTTTTCCCTGGCTATTTCCTGGTTTTTCCCTGGCTATTCCCTGGCTATTCCCTGGTTATTCTCTGGTTATTCTCTGGTTTTTCCCTGGCTATTCCCTGGTTTTCCCCTGGCTATTCCATGGCTATTTCCTGGTTATTCTCTGGTTATTCCCTGGCTATTCCCTGGTTATTCCTTGCTTTTTCCTTATCTATTCCCTGGCAATTCCTTGGTTATTCCCTGGCTATTCCCTGGCTAGCCTTTTCTTATTCCCTGGTTTTTCCCTGGCTATTCCTTGGTTTCTCCCTGGATATTTCCTGTCTATTCCCTGGCTATTCCCTGGTTATTCCCTGGATATTCCCTGCTTATTCCCTGGCTGTTCCCCCCTGATTTGCTCTGGGTTCCTCCACTCGAAATTCCTCAGCTCCAGCTTCCCCCTCTGGAGCTCAAGCTCCCCAGAGGGAATTCCACCAACCCTCCAGCAGCAGAGGGGAGAAAGGTGCAAAGAGGGGGGGATCCCACCTCCTTCCTTACCTTCTCCAAAGTTCTGGTCGTAGATCTTGCTGGGGTTGGCAAACTCGTACTCAGAGCTCATGGGGTAGGCATGGGGCACGGTGCGGGCGGCCATGGCGTGTCCAGGACGGGCACCTTCCTTCTTTCCTTCCTCTTTCCTTCCTTCTTCCCTTCCTTCTTCCCTTCCTTCCTCTTTCCTTCCTTCCTCTTTCCTTCTTTCCTTCCTTCTTTCCTTCCTTCCTCCCCAGCCCTCGCTGCCTGTCCGAGTGAAGGCTGCAGGCTGCCAGGCTCCAGCTGGGAGGATTCCAAAGGGAGGAGGGAGCGATAAAAAAGATGGCCCAAAATAGCCCCGTGCAGGCCCCAGGACGCCGGGCCAGGGCGGCGAGGGAAGCTTCTCGCTGCATTCCAGCAGGGAGGGCAGGGGACACCTCAGGGACACCTCTGGGACACCTCAGGGACACCTCAGGGACACCTCTGGGACACCTCAGGGACACCTCAGGGACACCTCAGGGACACCTCTGGGACACCTCTGGGACACCTCAGGGACACCTTGGGGACACCTCAGGGACACCTCAGGGACACCTCTGGGACACCTCAGGGACACCTTGGGGACACCCTGAGGGTCCCTTCTGGAGCAGGGGGTGAGGGAGCAGGACAGAGCCCAGGCTGTGGCCAGTGAGACGCTCCTTGGGGTGGCTCAGGGGGTCCCTGGCACTGGAATTAGTGGCCCTGAGCCCCCATGGGTGGCTGGGGCTTGTTCAGCTCGTGTAATGAAGCCACTGCCCCACTGTGAGCCTGGGGCTCAAACCCCTCCTGTTCCCTATGTAAGAACAGTGATTTTCCCAGGAGCTGAGCTCAAGTCTTCTGCTCCTTTAGGGGTGAAGGGCTGCAGGGAGTGGAGCAGGGATCCAGGTCCCACTGCTGTCACCTCCCCATCCTCAGCCCTGCTGGCTGCCCAGACTCTTCCCTTGGCTTTGGCACAAGGCCACGGAGAAATGCTGCTGCCAGCCATCACCAGCTCACCCAGGCTCTGAACCTGGCCTAAATCCAGTTTTGCTGAGCAGGGCTGGTGGGCTGCTGGTGCTGCAGCAGGGGAGGAGTGCCCAGCTGAGCTCTGCACACCCTGAAACCAGAGATTTCCCTGAGCCTGCAGTGTGGGAGAGCAGGTGCAGTGCTGTTGATGTGACGGGACTTGGAGAGGGTATTTATGGCCTGGGCTGCTGCACAGAGCAAATCCTGCCCTCTGTTCTTGCAGGCAAGCCGAGAGGAAGAGGCTCAGAGCCTTTTGCAAAGGGTTGGCAGAGCTGGAAATGCCTCTGAGCCAGAAATTGTGTTTAAATTGTGAGCTCTCACGGGCAGAGAAGCTCTTGCCCTTCAGCAGAAGATAGGCTGGACCCATTCCTGTGATTTGGGCTCATGGAGAGGCAGGGATTAAAGCAAATGCATGGATTTAGGAGCAGAGCTGCAGGAAAGCAGGTTAGGCAGAGGCAGGCAGAGGTGCTCTGCACCCCTGGGTGCAGTGCAGCACCCTGGAGGCTGTGACCATGCCCAGCTTCTCTCTGGGGTCACAGCGTGGGGGTCTTCCCTCCAGAACAACGCGCTCTGCAGTGGGCAGGAGACAGGAGGCGCTGATGGAGAGACCCATCAAAAGCCAGGGAATCTCAGAAAAACGGAAAGCTGGACAAGACAAACGCAGTTCTGAACCAATGTGGTTAATCAAACGTTCTCCGTTTATTCGAGATAAGATGGTAGTTTATATCAGCTTCTACATAGTTTACAAAAACAAAGACACTCTGATTGGTAGGCTAACATTGTTTATCTTTTCCTTAAAACGGCCTACACCTTACACTATAAAACCTATACTAATTCACACCCAGACAGCCCAGTGGTCCCCGTCACACCTTAATATTATTTCTATCTGCGCCACAAGCTCTGAATTTCTCACTGCGTCAGAGGCTTGAAGGCCCACAAGGCCCAAATCTGAGGCCTAGACTGGAGTAGCTCAAATCTCAAAACTCATGTCCTCTTTCTCTCAAAAATGCTGCAACACCCATCCTTTATTCCCACCCACCAGGAGGACGGCAGGGCTGCACAGCTGGAGTGCCAGGATCCCAGCAGAGCCCTCCTGGCACCTCCCTAGCCCTGATTTTGGGGCCCTCCTGGCACCTCCCTAGCCCTGATTTTGGGGCCCTCCTGGCACCTCCCTAGCCCTGATTTTGGGGCTCACCTGGCACCTCCCTAGCCCTGATTTTGGGGCTCACCTGGCACCTCCCTAGCCCTGATTTTGGGGCTCTCCTGGCACCTCCCTAGCCCTGATTTTGGGGCTCTCCTAGCACCTCCCTAGCCCTGATTTTGGGGCTCTCCTGGCACCTCCCTAGCCCTGATTTTGGGGCTCTCCTGGCACCTCCCTAGCCCTGATTTTGGGGCTCTCCTGGCACCTCCCTAGCACTGATTTTGGGGCTCTCCTGGCACCTCCCTAGCCCTGATTTTGGGGCTCTCCTGGCACCTCCCTAGCCCTGATTTTGGGGCTATTCTGGCACCTCCCTAGCCCTGATTTTGGGGCTATTCTGGCACCTCCCTAGCCCTGATTTTGGGGCTCTCCTGGCACCTCCCTAGCCCTGATTTTGGGGCTCCCTTTGCTGCCGGGACAGGCTCAGCCCTGGTGGGTGATGCAGGAGCCGATCCCGGGAACAAGGGCCCCTTGTGCCAGTCCCTACAAACCAAAGATAGGAGCTGCATTGATCCCGTTGGCATCCAGGGCAGCTGGAACACGGGCCAAACCCGCCCGGGACCGTGGACAAACAGCACGTGGGCAGCGGGGCGGGCACCAGGCCACTCCAGCCTCTTGCTGCCCCATTGGGCTCCTCTTCTTCCTCTCCCCTTCCCCCTCCTCCTCCTCGGCAGCGTGCACAAATCCCTCAGACAGCTACTGGGCACCGCCGAAGGGCCAGCCCAGGAGTGGGACAATAAAATCCCTGACACCACTGTTCAAGAGGCCTCGGGGGGGTGGAAGGCCAGGCCAGCTGCAGGGTATAAAGCTGTTCCCGCTCCCGGCACAGCACTGCAGCACAGTTGTTGGCCAGGCTCCTCCAGCGCTCTCCAATGGATATCACCATCCACAACCCCCTGATCCGCAGACCTTTCTTCTCCTGGTTGGCACCCAGCCGTATCTTTGACCAGATTTTCGGGGAGCACCTGCCGGAGTCGGAGCTGCTCCCTGTTTCCCCCAGCTTCAGCCCCTTCCTGATGAGATCCCCCATCCTTCGGATGCCCAGTTGGCTAGAGACAGGACTCTCAGAGGTAATCTTTGCTTCTTTGTGGCTGCTGGGGGCACGGCCTGCTGGCTCTGGAGGCCCAGGAGAGCTTGGAAGATGCTCCTAGGTGGTGTTTTTTTTTTTTTAGGAGAAAGGCTGGGGGAAAAGGTGCTGTGTTTGTGCCTCTGTATTGTTTGGGATGGAGCAAGTCTGGCCATAGTGATGGGAACAGAGCTCAGTGTGCGTGGCAGATCACGCTAGGAGCTGGCAGAGGAACGGAGAAAACCTAATTTCCCTAATTTCCCTAATTTCCCTAATTTACCTAATTTACCTAATTTCCCTGATTTCCCAGCCTGCTGCACCAAACTTTCAATCCCACTCCCGTGTGAGAAGCGAAGAGCACGGGGACAGTGGGATCCTCACGCCAAGCAGAGCAGGAACCCATGGCTGCTGAGGGAAAAGGGGCCTATTTCAGACAATCCCTGCCCAGAAAAGCAGCATTTTAATAAGATCTAGGACCCAGAGGATCATGGAGCAGGCGCCTCCTCCCTCCAGGGGCTGAGCCAAGAGGCTTTTGCCTGTCCTGCAAGTCAACTGTCTTATTTACAAGGAGCTTGAGGAGCTATTCCAAGCAGAAGGAGTGAAAGTATTATTTAATCCTTGCATAACGTCCTTCTTGATTTAGTGACCTAGGTCTGGCTGCCTAGTGAAGCAGCCAAAATAAAGAGTCAGCTTTAAATAAAGAGTCAGTTTTAACCAATTCTGGTGGAGAATCTCAGGTCCTGAAGTGATGGGCATTAACACAAGGCCAGCAAGGGACAGAGCCACTCAGATCTGATCCCAAAATAAGGGTCAGCGTGTGCGTGTAGAGACCAGCTTGAGTCTGCATTCCTTTTTAAGCTGAAACCCTCACCTGATCTTCTCTGAAGTCACCTCCTGGCTTTTGCTCTTCCCTGAAGTCACCTCCTGGCTTTTGCTTTTTCTGAAGTCACCTCCTGCTTTTTGCAGATGCGACTGGATAAGGACAAATTTTATGTGAACCTGGATGTGAAGCATTTCTCCCCTGAGGAGCTGAAGGTGAAGGTGCTCGGGGACATGATCGAGATCCACGGGAAGCACGAGGAGCGCCAGGTACCCCCTGCTTTAATTCACCACTGAGGGAGTCACTGGAACTCACTCACCTCTGGTGACTGCAAAACAATCCCCTGCTCACCTCAAATATTTGTCATTTTTTCAATCAAAGTGCTCCATGCAATCCCCCCAGCTGATCCCAGACAGGGCAGCAAGAGGGTGGAGGTTTATTGCTGATGTTGCATGAGCTGTGAATTGAACTGGAAAATCATCTGTGAAATGGGCATTTTCGGGCTTCCCCTCTTTCTGGGAAGAGGCCAGGAATGCAGGGAGGCGTCCAATGAGCTAAAAATTAACTCTCTCAATCAAGCCACGTAATGAATCAGTGCATTGCCCTGCGTGTTACCTTCCCTAGGCCCAGCTAGCAGTTTCTAATCCTTCAAAGCTGTGCTCTGCTGCCATTCATCCCTCTCCCTGCTGGCTCTGGAGACCTGTGTGGACACTGGGCAGGCAGAAACGCAAAGCCATGCCCAGAGCTGGATGTAAGAGCATTTTCCAGTCCCCAGAGCAGCTGTGTCCCTGGAATTGCCACCCCCAGGAGCACAGCCTGTCACCAGGGAATGCAGTGCTCCCTGTAGCACTGGGGTCTGTGATGCTGACACCGTTCCTGGCATCCTTTTTGGGCTAAGAAGATAACCAAGCAGTGGGTCAGGCTCTGAGGGTCTCTGGGGCAGGTGTGGTTGGGGTTGGCACCTCGGGAATGCCAGCACAGAGCGCAGGGCAGCCTCTGGCTGGCACAGGGGTTGATCTAGTACCGATATCCAACTGTGACAGGGGACAAAAACTCTCTAACGATTTAAAGTTATAAAGTGAATGTTTATTGTGTGCAGGATAACTTCCAAATACACACTGCACCTTCCAAGTGATTACAGAGTCCTTTTATCCACACAAGTATTGAATATTTAAAATATAAATACATAGTCATCATTTTGGTACATCACATTCCTCACTTCGTAGGCTAATCATTTCAAAAAGTTATTAAGCATGCATAATTTGTTCCTTGAAATGGGTCGGTGTCCCTTTCATGGGGAGGGGTCCCAAAATGAGGAAGTCAATGAAGTCTTCCTCCTTCTGACCTTTCTACCTTTTCAATGCCAATATGACAAATGAACTCTTGGTAGAACTCCCATTCCTTGTCTTCAGTTGGTTTCAGAACAGAGGAGGCCACAATTGTCTTATGTTCCTAAAAGCTATTTATCAGTTTATATTCTTCATTATAAACCCAGCTAATTAAACATTGTGCTGACAAGCAATCAATTATTAGTTAACTACTAACTCTTAACTTCATCGAGGCCTACTCATTTATTTTAATTAACTCTAGTGAGGCTTATCTCTAACTAAAATCTTAGCTCCTCTAAAATCTCTAAATCCCTTAAAGTTTCTGTTTCAGGGCAGGCACAGAGCCTCCCCCTGAAAACTTTCCTTGGAGAGCCCCACTCCCCATCCCCAGCCTTGGAGCAAAGACCCCGTGGTTAAGGCAGCAGCGGACGGACACTCATTAATTAAAATAATTCAAAGGCTGTGCAGTGAGGATTTTCTCCTGTTTTTTTGGGGTTTTTTTGTGCAGGACGAGCACGGCTTCATCGCCAGGGAGTTCAGCAGGAAATATCGGATCCCGGACGACGTGGACCCGCTGAGCATCACGTCCTCGCTGTCGCTGGACGGGGTGCTGACCGTCAGCGCTCCCCGCAAGCAGAGCGATGTCCCCGAGCGCAGCATCCCCATCACCCGCGAGGACAAACCCGCCATCGCAGGCGCCCAGAGGAAGTGAGGGCTGCTCTGCTGTCCCCAAACCACCCCTGCAGGGTCATTCCACAGCTCCTTCCTCCGCCAGGTGCCGGCTGCACCCAGTGGCTGCTCGTATTATTTATGCTGAGTAAGTTTACTAACGAATAAAACCATGGAGAAGCAGTTTGGATTGGTTTGTTTTGGGTTGGGTTGGGAAAGGTGGATAAAAGGAGCAGGGCAACATCATTTTTTGGGTGCTCAGGACAGTTTATCTGGGTGTTCAGCTGTCGGAATCTGGGGTATTGATGATTCTGAGGTTGTAGAAAGTCTCTGTCTGTCAGCCCCACTGCCAAAGCAGAAGCCATAATTGGTCTGTGCTGGTTTCAAGGTTGTTTATTCTGTTTATCTCTAACATGTTCTGCTGCCCTGCCGCAGCTCTGTCCTGCAGGGCAGCGTGTGGGGCTCTGCCCTCAGTGGGATGGTACAAACATTAAATACCACAAACTACCTGTGCTGGATTTACAATAACGTGCCAATATCTGTCACCTACGTTGGACAGTGTGTCCCCAGCCTGAACCAACAGAAAAATGCCAACACCACAGTGAAACATGGAGGGCATGAAGAAGGAGAAAAAGGACAAGGCACACCCAATTTCCTCCATCTTGTCCCCTTTGGACCCCTCATCTAGAATCCTAAAATTTTACTTTTGCACCCGTGCCACACTTAATTATCACTGATATCAAACACTCAGAGCTGGTAATTCATCCTGTAAGATTGAAAACTCTTTTCCATGGCCAGAGATCACAGACAGTGTCTCTGGGGGCTCTGTCCAGGGGAGTTCCTGACCCCTGCCAGGGTCCCAGGGCAGCCAGAGGGAAGCCCTGGATTCCCACATTCAGCAGCACTTTTGCCCATCACACCTTGTGTTCTCTCTCCCTTCAACGCTGCCAGAGGATTTCAGAGTGTTTCACAAGCAACAGGAGAGTTTCTCCCATGCAGATTAAACTGGTAAAACAGCTCCACGCCAACTGAAACCCAGCTGAAGTGTGGGTATTTGATAACAGCTGGCTGGAGGACAACTGTATCTTAAATCTCTCAAATGATTCATGTAATGGAGAAACATCCAGGGGCTGCAGCCAGGTCAGAGCAGCTTCAGGTGAAAACTGCAGGGCTGCAGTAAACACAGATCTACCCAAAGAGAAGGAAAACATCTTGCTCTGATGATGCAAATCACATCCCTTTGAAACTCTGCTGTTAGTGCCCTTCAAACACTGAGCAGGATCTGATGTCTACAGCAATAATCTGATTTATGCCAGCATTGCTGAGTGATACAAACCACTACTAAAGTCCTTTTCAGGCATCTTCATCTGCCTAGCACCCCTCTTCAAAGGGGTAGAAAGGGATGTCTGGATGACTGGAACTGAATTTCTGAAATTCATCTTCAAAAAGGACAAGATCTGTCACACAAACCATCAGACTCAGTCATGGCCTGACCTATTTTCTGTGCTCCTTAGACCTGCTGAGACAAAAGTTCTGTCAGCAGGGATCTCAGTACACCTCAGCTGAGCAGGGAGGTGAGAAAAGAAAATGAGCACTTCCATGGCTGTGGGTGAAAAAAAGCAAATGAGCACTCTGTGATGTGGGGTCACTGTTAAACACCCCAAACCCCCCTCTTTTCCAAGGGCTGCTGTTTCCTATTAGCTGGTTCTAATTAGCTCTCCCAGCTAAGGTGTTAATTGGGCTTGTCTGGCCAGGCACAACCTCTGCACACAAGAACAATCCACAGACACACACAGAGGTTACAAACAGCACAGGTTAAAAGCAGGAAGAACATTTCCCACATGGAAATCACTGCACCGCTGGTTGCTGGGGTTTTCTGGAGCTTTTCCTGCTTCCTGCTTGTTCCTTCTCCACCTGCAGGCCTGGAGTGCAGCAGCACTGGGCAGTTGGGCTGCAGGGTGGTGGCCTGAAAATCAGTGAGGTTTTTGTTCAAATCCTAAAAGAATCACCACTGAAAGGAAATAAATGTAAAATAGTAAGAATTTAGGCAGAAAATGCAACTGAGGAAAATATTTTTTACAGTGCAGGGGTTTTGTCAGGCTCAAATTAGCAGCCAGAAATGGGAATTTTGAGTGAAAGCTCTCTGGGGTTAAAGTGGATGAGGTCAGCCAGACAGGAATACTTGAAATGCAGAACCACTCCCTGAGTGACCTGAAATACCTGTTCTGGGGAGGCACAGGAGCACAGCCCAGCACCTCTGTCATCTCTGTCATCTCCAGGCACAAACATCACCGAGAAGCTCCTCACATCCAACAGATCATCCCAGTTCTGCACAGGTCAAATTCCCTCTCTGATGTTTCCCTGTAATTTGAAGCAGGTTGTTTCCAAAGCACTGGAAAGGAAAACTCACATTTAGCGTGGCTAAATACACGTTTGGAGGGTTTTTTTTTGTAATTATTGGAATGGGAACGTCGTGTGGTAACTATTTTCTCAGTACCCAACACTTCTCCAGGCTACTACACATCATTTAAAATAAACCAAATTATTCTCTCAAAGCCACAGGGACCCAGCACAGAGCTCACAAATTGTGCAGGAGCTCAGCTTTGCCCATTTCCAACCTCCCTCTGTCATTATCTGTGTGAAGCACACTGTCCCTGCCCCGTGGGCCAGCTGGGCAGGTGACACCCAAGCCTGGCTGTTGTAGATATTCTAGACCATAATTTCCTTCCCTCTCAAAGGAAACACATATGTGTTTCTTCTCACCAAACACATATGTGAGGCAGGGTAATTAATTTACCTTATATCACCCTGTTGAGGAATTAGTGACCTTCTTATTATACCTTGATTATGTCTGTAATTATCTGACACCTCATGATGCTTCCAGCACCTTTCCACTGCTTCTCTTCTCTTTCTCTTCTCTTTCTGTCTGTCTCTGCTTCTCCCTTTTGGGAATTCAAGCAGCACAAAGATTGTCAAAGGATAAAAATTGCAGGTACAGGTAAAGGTCAGTTCAGAGGAGGCCAGCAAATTGATTATAGGGCTGGAACTCCTCTGCTATGAGGAAAGGCTGAGAGAATTGGGATTGTTGAGCCCGGAAAAGAGATTTCAGGGTGACCTAATTGTGGCCTTGCAGTTTCTGATTGGAGGAGCCCCCAGGAAAGATGGAGAGAGACTGTTCACAAAGGAGTGCTCCAACCCGACAGAGAGCAGGCTTAGATTGGATATAATAAGAAATTTCACCCTGTGAGGGTGGCGAGGCTCAGGCACAGGTTGCCCAGAGAAGCTGAGAAGTGACTGGAAGTGTTAAAGGATGGGGCTTGGAGCAAGCTGACCTGGGGTAGCGAAAGATGTCCCAGCACAAAATCAGCTTTAAAGCGCCTTCAAACCCGAACCATTCAGCGAGTCTACAATTCCTCGGCTTTTTAAACAGCTTTTTTTTTTTTTTCCTGAACGCAACACCCATTTCCTGTTGCGGGCGGCCGGGAGAGCTCCTGGAATCCCCATTGCCGGGGGTACCACAGCGCATCCTTTTTGCGGGGACACCGCCACCTCTCCGCACCCGGGGGCGGCCCAGCGGCTGCCGAGGAGTCCCCGGGGATGTCCACGGGGCCACAACGCCACCGGGAGTGGCCTCCGAGCGGCCGCACGTCATGAACGAGCGCCGGTGGCTGCGAGCGGCCGGGGCTGCGGGCACCGCTCCCGGTTGGGACCATGGGGCCGCCGCTCCGCCGCGTCCTGCTGCTCGGAGAGGGCAACTTCTCCTTCTCCGCGGCTCTCTGCGGGGCACAGGACACGCAGCTGGTGGCCACTTGCTACGAGAGCGAGGAGGAGGCGGCCGAGCGCGGCGGAGCGGCGCGGAGCATCCGCCGGCTGCGGGATAACGGTGGGTGCGCACCGGGAGCGGGGATGGGGATGGAGCTGCTGCTGAGAGCTCCGCTGTCACCCTCCTGTCACCCTCCCAGCATTGCTGTCACCCTCCTGTCATCGCTATCACCCTCCTGTCACCCCCCTGTCACCCCCCTGCCACCCTCCTGGCATCCCTGCCCCGCTGCCGCGTCCCTTGGGAGTCACCCCAGGAGTCCCAAGGGAGGGACTGGAACGACCCCGCTGGCTGAATGAATCGCCTTCAAATCTGATCAGTTTGAAACAGCACTAAAAATACCGTTTTCAGGTGTTTTCCGGAGTTTTCTGCTGCCTTGAAAGTAAAGGGAACCCCACAAGGCTTTCCGGCGTTGCCAATGCTCGAGGCAGCTCTCACCTATTTAAAATTTTCCCCTCTGTGTGGGGACAGACCCAAAACCTTCAGGCTCCTGTGTGGGGGTTATCAGGACAGCTGCTGATGAATTAAAAACGCCCTGCAGGATTTGCATCCTCGCCTTTCTTTAAATTTTTCCTCCCCTATAGCCATCAGAGCCTTGTTTTGCCGTTGCAGGAGCCGAGGTTGTGTTTTCCGTGGACTGCACCAAGCTGAAGGAGCACTTTCTGCCGGGAAAACGGGAATTTGATCGTATTTATTTCAACTTCCCTCACTGTGGGAGGAAGGCTGGGGTGGTGAAGAACAGGCAGCTCCTTGCTGGCTTTTTCCATAGGTGAGTAAACCCGAAATAATTCCGTGTTCATTACCTGCCGTGGCAGAGTTTTTCAGCTGCATTCCAGGTGTTTTTGTTTTTATTTTGTTTTTGTTTTTATTTTTGTTTTGTTTTGGTTTTGTTTTGTTTTTGTTTTGTTTTTGTTTTGGTTTTTGTTTTGTTTTTGTTTTTGTTTTGCTTTTGTTTTGTTTTTGTTTTTGTTTTTGGCTGTGCTGACAGGATTTCCTGCTTGCCTCACTTCCCTTCCAGCTGTGCAGAAGTGTTGGCACAGGAGGGAGAAATCCACGTGGCGCTCTGCAATGGGCAGGGAGGGACTCCTGCGGACCAGCCCAGGAGGGAGTGGCACAACAGCTGGCAAATCGTGGCTGTGGCGGCAGCAGCTGGATTTATCCTAAGCCACGTTCATCCTTTTGAAGCAGGGACCATCGATGGGTACAAATGCACAGGGTACAGGTAAACCATCCCGTGGCAAAACTGAAATTCTGATGTTTGTGCTCTTAAAATGTCCCAGTGTTAGAATATCCTTTTAGTATTCTGTTGGCTGGAGAGGAACTCCTTTTAATTTTCCTTTGAATTTTCCTTTGAATTTTCCTTTGAATTTTCCTTTATATCTTCCTTTGAATTTTCCTTGAAATTTTCCTTAAAATAGCTGCAGTTCTTGTTCATCTCCAAGGCAGAATCACCAAGATTAAAATGCAAGTTTCCTGCCAAAGCACCCTCTAAAAATAAGACCATCTGAGGATTTTAAAGGTCAAAAGCATCCGTTTCAGAACAAATATCAATCTCAGCCCAAAGGCATGGGACTGGGGGTTGATGCTGCCAGAGACTTCTGGCCTAATTGAGGCACATTAAATATCAGAAATTAGCAGTGACTTTGCTCTGTTTTTGTGCATTTTCAGGAGTCAGGATAAATCCTTCTGTGTGGAGGGTGCTTTGAACCACATTTTCACACGGAGCACAGCACCCCTGTGTTTCACACCCGTGAGCTGCCAGACTCAACTGGGAAGCCAAAAAGTTTCTTTTCAAGTGCCACAAGTCCTCATGGATAAAATTAATAGGTGAGTTTTACAATTAGTTTCTCTTTGGCAGCAGCAGCTCTCCTGCTCTCAGTGGGAATTCCCAACAGTGGGGTCAGATAAATGGATATAGTGATGGAAAATCCTTTTTTACCAGCAAATCACAGTTAATTCTTGATTGTAACCTGCAGACAAACACCAGTGCCCTGAAAATGTGCAACACCTTTGGTGAAAGACTTGGCTTGGTCTGGTAGTTGCTGGCTGAAGAATGTTTTGGGTAAAATTATGGCCACGGGAAGGCAATCACAGATGGTGTCTGTAATTTGCACTTTTATTTGTCACAGGGGTTTCCTCGAAGTTAACTCAAGTCATCCAGTAAGGACAATAAAGGAGAAGCTCAGTGCAGGGCTCAGCCAAGCTTTTCCCCTGCAGAACATCAGCTCCTGCCTTCCTCTGCTGCACCGAGGGCACCCCGGGGCTGTTTGTCACCCCAACGTCTTCTGGGTCGCTCTGAGCCCAGGGGAGGCTCCAAGCACTGAGGAAATGTCTCAGGGACTGGCAGATGCACTTTTGTGTTCCCATTTTGGCCAGGACACAGATGAGAATGTACAGGAAGGATGCTCAATGCCAGAGCAGTTTTACCTTAGGCCTTCCCTCCTGCCTCATGCTCAGGCAATAATTCAAAAAAGAACTTTTTCCCCAGGGACTCTTCAGGTTCTTTCCGGGCCAGTTTTTAGGAAATGTCGGATCACTCCCCACTCCATGCCTGTCTTCCATGAGATGCTGGTTGTGCTTGCAGTTAGCAGGGGCACGGAGCACAGCTGTATCCAGATGTTGGTGGATAACATTAAAACCACCATGAATTCCCTTCACCAGGGCGCTTCTGGCGTCAAACCCAGCATCAGCCTGCAGGAAGCCACAAGTTTTGGAGCTGAGCTAAATGACTTTGCTGCTTTTGAATGGCAGCTTGGTGAAATTCAGCATTTCCTCTGTGCGGGGACAGACCCAGAGCCCTCAGGCTCCTGCGTGGGGGTTATCAGGACAGCTCCTGAGGGATTAAAAAGCCAGGAGCTGGTTGTTGTCTCAGCCTCACTGAACCTGGACCTCCTGGCCATGCTGCTGTGTGGAATATCCGACTGGAGGATGCTCTGGACGTCGGACAGGCGCTTCCTCAGGCAGTTTCCTGAGGGAGAATTGAGGCTTTTCAAGAGTTTCTCCCTCTATCCACCTTCCTACGAGCATGATGTCAGCTTCTGGCTTCCTGACGGGGAGGAATTTGATGAAGTGGCTTTTCACACCCTTGCCAGGAGGGTGTCAGGTGAAATGGTCGTTTCCATCCAGCTAAGGGACAATTTCCAGCAGCCAGGGACAGGACGGAGGAGCCTGTGCTACAGGGTGACTTTCCAGGCCTGTGACAGAGCCTTGGGCTGCCGGGAGGCTGCAGAGATGCAGCTGCGCTTTCGGGAGGAAATCCAGCAGCACCTCGGTGTGACCCTGAGGTAGAACATCTGCCGTGGTTTGCAGGGGCTCCAGCAGCTCCTGTGCCCCTTTCTGACCTGGAAAATGTCACCTGCATGTGTTGGACCTAAGACTGTGTTGTTGCAGTGCCTGTCACAAGGGCAGGGTGGACTTTGAGCACGCGTTTCAATGGGGCAGTTCCTGTTAATCCTGTTCCCTGTGTGTGTGTCACGAAACCTGGTTTTATAAAGTGGAGTCTCTCTTTCCTAGGGTCCTGTGAGAGTGGATTCATCTCTTTACTGATGCAAATTCCTCCACCAAAACCTCCCCAGGCCCAGCCTGAGGCTGCTCCCTCTCCTCCTGTCCCTGTACCTGGGAGCAGAGCCCGACTCTGGCTGTGCAGAGCCACAAGGTCCCCCCTTGAACCCCTTTTTCTCCAGGCTGAGCCCCTTTCCAGCTCCCTCAGCTGTCCTGGGGCTCCAGCTCCTTCCCAGCTCTGTTCCCTTCCCTGGACACGATCCGTGCCGTGCTGTCCCCATCTCCTGATCACAGCGGGTACCAAATAAACAACATTTTCAGTCGGGCAGGCAGGGGCAGGGTGGGGATGGACCCTGGCTTGGACGTGGGAGAGGGGCTGGGCGGGCGATGGAGCCGCGTGTGCGGGGCAGGGACCGGGGGTGATGGACCCGGGTGGGTGATGGACCCGGGTGGGTGATGGACCCGGGTGGGTGATGGACCTGAGTGGGTGATGGACCCGGGTGAGTGATGGACCCGGGTGGGTGATGGACCCGGGTGGGTGATGGACTCGGGTGGGTGAGTGATGGACACAGACGAGTGGTGGCCCCGGGTGTGCGGGGTAGCGCTCTCCCTGTCGCAGTTCCTATCGCTGTCCCTGTCCCTCTGTCGGTCCCTGTCCCCGTCAACGTCCCTCTGTCGTTCCCGGTCCCTCTGTCGGTCCCTGTCCCCGTCCCTCTGTTGTTCCCGGTCCCTCTATCGGTCCCTGTTCCCTGTCCCGGTTCCTCTCTCGCTCCCGTTCCCTCTCTCGCTCCCGGTCCGTCTGTCGCTCCTGGTCTCTCTGTCCCGGTCCCTCTGTCGGTCCCTGTTCCTTGTCCCGGTCCCTCTCTCGGTCCCGTTCCCTCTGTCGCTCCCGGTCCCTCTGTCGGTCCCTGTTTCCTGTCCCGGTCCCTCTCTCGCTCCCGGTCCCTCTCTCGCTCCCAGTCTCTCTCTCGGTCCCGGTCCCTCTGTCGGTCCCTCTCTCGGTCCCGGTCCCTCTCTCGCTCCCGGTCCCTCTCTCGGTCCCGGTCCCTCTCCCGGTCCCTGTGTCGCTCCCGCCGCCGCCGCAGGGAGCGCGCTGCCCACACCCGTGATGGCGGCGGCGGCTTCGCGCGCGCTGCCGCAGCTGCTCGGGCCGGGCCGCGGCGGGCGGCGGGCGCTGCCTGCCCGTACCCGGCATGGCGGCCAAGGCGGCCCGGCAGCGGCCGCGGGCGGGCGGCGGGGACGGAGCGGGGCGGCGAACCGAGCCCGCGGGCAGCGAGGAGCCGCGGAACGAGTGCGTGCCGCGGGGACGGAGCGGGGATGCCGGGGCTGCTGGGGCTACCGGGGATGCTGCGGCTGCTGGGGCTACCGGGGCTACCGGGGATGCTGAGGCCACCAGGGCTGCCGGGGCTACCGGGGATGCTGCGGCTGCTGAGGCTACCGGGGCTACCGGGGATGCTGCGGCTGCCAGGGATGCTGAGGCCACCAGGGATACTGAGGCCACCAGGGCTGCTGAGGCTACCGGGGCTACCGGGGATGCTGAGGCCACCGGGGCTACCGAGGCTGCCAGAGCTACCGGGGATGCTGAGGCCACCAGGGATACTGAGGCCACCAGGGCTGCTGAGGCCACCGGGGCTACCGGGGCTACCGGGGATGCTGAGGCCACCAGGGCTGCTGAGGCTACCGGGGCTACCGAGGATGCTGAGGCCACCGGGGCTACCGAGGCTACCAGGGCTACCGGGGATGCTGAGGCTGCCGGGGCTACCGGGGATGCTGAGGCCACCGGGGCTGCTGAAGCCACCAGGGCCACCGGGGCTCCCGGTGCCGGGGTTCACCCGCGCTGTAGGGCCGGTACCGGAGCATCCCCCGGGGTGCTGATGGTGCTCCCCTGTGAGGGGACCGGCATTTCCCCTGCCCTTTGCTCACTGTCACCTTGTGAGCTTTGATCTCCTTGCCAAGTCTCCCTGCTGCATATTTGTAATTTTTAATTTTTTCCCCCTCCACCCCTCACCCCTTTTGGGTTAGATCATCCGGGAGCAAAGCCGGGCACGTCTGGGCCCCTGAAGGATCCACAGCTTTCAAGTGTCTCATCTCGGCCAGGTTCTGTGCAGCTCTGCTGAGCAACATCTCGGATTGTGATGAGACCTTTAACTACTGGGAGCCGGTGAGTCCCTTCCTGCCCTTGGCATTGCCAATTTGTACCTGGCCTCTGCAAATACCCGTTTATTTAGGACCTTGTGCTCTCTGTTTCAGTTTCCACTTGGCTTGTGCAAAGGTAGATTTATTTAGAACCTTGTGATGATCCCTCTGTTTCAATGAGAAATATTTTGCTCTGGGATTCAGGGGTGGGGAGTGGAAAACTCTCTGCTTTGTGTGCTGCAGGTTAATTTATTTATTTGCTCTCTGTCGTAGACACACTACCTCATTTATGGGAAGGGGTTTCAGACATGGGAGTACTCTCCAGCCTATGCCATCCGCTCCTATGCTTACCTGTGGCTCCATGCCTTGCCAGCCTGGTTCCATGCCAGGGTTCTGCAAACCAACAAGGTAAATTTTGTGTGTGGAAGCTGCTTTTGAGAGGAAGAAATGTACATTTAGTGTGTGGGAAACACCTGTCCTGTTTGGTGTTGAAATCGACTTCATGTTTATAAAACACTTTTTTGTTTGTTTTTTTTTGTTTGTTTGTTGAAAAACTTTGACCTCCCTGTAAGGATTTCCAAGGGTTTGTGGGTTTCCCCTGATGCTTTACAAGCCCATTTTTGTGTCCTGTGCCTCATTCAGATTCTGTCTGTGTCTAATAGGTTCTCATCTTCTATTTCCTGCGATGCTTCCTGGCCTTCCTGAGCTGCATTTGTGAACTCTACTTCTACAAGTGAGTGTCAGAGCATCTGCAGGGGATGTGTGGGAGCAGCGTGAGTGCCATGGACAGTTCCTGCCACTGGAAACAGGCTTTGAGGCTCGTGTGTAGATGAGAAAATACACTTCTAGTGATAACTCACCGAGATGTTGGTCAGAACGCCACAATTAGGACAAAATTACACTCCCAGATCTCCCACCCACACCTCTACTCCAGCTTTTTGTTGACTCCACTCGTTTTCTCACTGCTGGCAGCAAGCAGGGTGGGAGTGTTGCAGGCTGAGGAGAGTCTGGTGCTGTGTTTGCTTATCTCAGTGACTGTGATGGAACACATTGATTGCTGCTGTCTGTAATCTCTCTGCCAGTGCTGTTTACAGCCACTAAAATCAGTAGCCCTAACATGCAATTTTCTTGTCTAAATGGGATTTTTATTTTTACCTGCTGCCTCTTGATTCCTGATTTTCCAGCCACCACCCTGCATGAGTTTTTTGTTTGTCAGTACTCTGGCTTTTCTGCATGATGGGGTTTTGTGAGGGGTGAGGATCACAGAGGGGTGGATGTGGGCAGCAGTGCAGCCGCTGAGATTTGCACAAGCACAGCTGGGAGAAGCCATTCAGAGTTTTGCACTGGTGTTAACTCAGGGTCTGAAATCCCAGGCAGAGGCAGCAGCTGAGTGTTGGGAATCCCCCAGCTCAGAGCTGCTCCATGAGTTGTTTGTGGCTCTGCATGCCTTGGTGCTGCTCATTCTTGTCCCTGAGGCTATTTTGTGGTACCTGTTTCTCTGCTGCTTCCCCAGGGCTGTGTGCAAGAAGTTTGGGCTGCACGTGAGCAGGCTGATGTTGGCCTTCCTGGTGCTCAGCACGGGGATGTTCTGTGCTTCTGCAGGTGAGTTGGCTTGGCACTGGCACTAACAAAGACAGAGAGAAGAAAATCCCATCTCCAGGGTGCTCTGTTGTATTCTCATGACAGAATAAGCGTTGATTCAAATTTTGTTCTCTGTGTTAGAACTTCCAGGCCTGTTTCTGTTGCTGCCTCCTGTTTTTAATAATGCTGTGCCTTTTAAACAGGCTCTTGGCCTGCTTTTCCTTGGCTTTTTTTTGTCCCAGGGAAGGAGGCTGAGGCTTTGGCACTTTGCCTTTGTGTGCTGGCTGTACCTGTTTTCCCAGCCACCGTAAGACTTCTGTAAAGCACTCACTGCAGGTGTTGGGTGAGGTGTGGGGAAGCTGTGCTGACCTTTCATCCCCTTGTGTTGCAGCTTTCCTGCCCAGCAGTTTCTGCATGTACACCACGGTGGTGGCCATGACGGGCTGGTACATGGACAGGACCTCGGTGGCAGTGCTGGGGGTGGCTGCTGGAGCCCTGCTGGGCTGGCCCTTCAGCGCAGCTCTGGGGTAAGGAGCAGTTCCTGCCCTTTGGCAGCTGCTTTTCACCTGGCTGGGCAGAGCCAGCGGGCACTGAGCTGCCAGCTTAGCCCAGGATCGTTGCTACAGGGCTTCCTGGCTTTTGAACAACTGAGGCTGGGCAGATTTCCTGGCATTAATAGCAGTAAAGCCTGAGCTGGATGATGGATCTGGAATAGAAGCAGAGGCCAGTGAAGCAGTGGTTCTGTCTCTTGCTTTGAAGGGGCAGCAGAGCCTGCAGTGGGGCTCAGGGCCTCCAGCTGACAGCTGGTCTCTCTTTCAGCCTTCCTATTGCCTTTGACTTGTTGATCCTGAAGAAGAGGTGGAAAAGTTTCCTGAACTGGTGTGTGGTGTCCTTGATCCTGTTTTTGGTGAGTGCCTGCAACAACACAAAGACAGAATGGATGGCAGTAGAAGGCATGAGCTCCTTTAGGAAGATCAGCTGGAGCTGTTGGCACTTTAACTAAAATCTGCTTTCTTCCAGGTGCCCTTGGTGGTGGTGGACAGCTATTACTACGGGAAGCTGGTGGTGGCACCTCTCAACATCGTTTTGTACAATGTCTTCACCCCCCACGGCCCTGATCTCTACGGTGAGTTGGGGATAACCAGCCAGGGAAGCAGCCCGAGCTTTTCTGGCTACGCTGGCCCCTGACTGGCAGTGCTTTTCCTGCCGTGCCTAAAGCAAAAGCAGCCTGCCAGCTCCAGGGGCTGCAGCTGCTGCTTCTGGACACGGGATGTCTCTGTCGAGCTGGCA